CAGAGTGACGATAAGCTTTATGCGCTCTAAATTTAATAAACGGATTTTATTGAAAAAAAATTAAAATTTTATATTGCTACTATTCTCGTTTTTTATGTACATAAATCACGTTTCTAGTCACGGTTTAATGTTTTTTATTCTTCACGACATCCAAAACAATTTTAGTTCTTTCAGAAGCAATGATATTCAAAATAACTCGCAGGCGTCACTATTAAAATGACGTATTGAATTATAGTTGCTGTAAAATTTATTTTTTTATGGGTCCGTTTTATTCGATTGATTTTTTATTTATGTTCTTTGATAAAAATCAAGCATAAAGATAAAATATTAGTAAATCAGATATAGTTATACTTAAAATGTTGAACTATATGYAAGATTTAGCACACTRTGTGTTTTATATTTCTWYTTGAGAGTGCAATATGCATCATAAWAATACATAATATATAGAAACCATTTTTGCTATATATTTCATACATATTTTAGGAATTGTAAACGGTATAGCTATGATTATTTTATCTAGACATATCGCAGAGTTCATTTTTTTTATTTGGTCTTACGATATTTGGACATTTAGTTTGGAACACTCGGCAGATTTACTTGATCAATATAATTGTGAATAATCATACGATAATTATTCAAATACTTAGTTAATTTTAATTAAAAAATAATATGCATTGCAAATCTCTTCCTGAATCAGTGCAGGATATCGCTCTGAGTGAATTAACTCGAATTCAAGTAAGTTTATAAGCTATAATCAGTCKTATATGTTTATAGCTTTGCTATCTATAGTCTCTTCGCTCATGGGCGTGATTCTATTATAAATAAACAAAATATATAGTTACATCATCATAACGTATAAGTTATATTATTGTAGTCTTACAGATGTCACTGAAATCGGTCGTTTCAAGATTCTAATGTAAAATTGTTTAACAATCGTGTCGGGTTTTCACCGTTGTTTCCCACTTGTACCTWCGTACAATGATAATGTACAATTTACGATTGGCGTCGATGTTTCAAATCTTTTTACTTGTTGAAAATTTACATATCACAGTATCTCTACGTGCTTGTTTTTCCTTAACGTTTCTAAATCCKATTTGTTTTCGCCGTAATAGACGTGATCGAACAATAGTAGGTATTAGTATTTTTTAAATAATATTCGTAATACTGACGTCAAACCCAACTGCACTGTATTTTTCGATATTTTTGCATTTCGGAGATTCACGTACAAGTTGGACGATACTGTGACAAGAAAGTATCAGTCGCAGACTATTTGACAGATATTAATCTATTTTTATTTAAAACGTTCGTTAGAATACTTGACGTTTCGGGTAGTATGGAATGGACTCGTCTCCACTGCAATGACCAAGCGTATACATTCATATTAATATTAATCATAAAAAAGTTTATTATTTATTTTATCTTAATATTTATATGTATTAAATAAATTATTATATTGTAATGACGACGTTATCTACAACTATTAATGGACTCCGTTAAATATGAGTCAAACACAATAACTGCACCACAGCATATAATACTTTCAATAATGCAGTATAATAAAGTAACCGGCAAGGGGCCCTAAAACGCAAGATGTCAAGTAATTGATGTCCCAATTTGGTTTCGATATTCGTTTCAAAGTCGGAAAATGAAAATAAGAAAACCAACAAACATAATATGTATATAAACATAATGTAATTCTTAACCATCTGGGACGCATTCCCAAGAAAAACAAACAAATCGGCGACAGAGTACATATTTTTGGATATTTCTGTATACCTACCCATTGTCACGAACAACAATAAGATTGACGGACTTCTTTGTTATTGTGTTCGACTTCAATGTCATGATTATATTGTTGTAAGTACGGTCTTGGGGTGGAAGAATGAAACACAGAAATAACGAATACTAATCAAAAATATATTGTTTCAATCTGTGGAGACTTTTRACACGAACTGTATTTATTTCCCCTTTGTAAAATTATTACAATGATTCGTTTTCATGAATTATATGAGAAGTACAATTTATTTTGTGTTATTTGGATATAAAAGTGTGTATAAAATATGTACATGCGTTAAAATAGTACATAATTCCAAGCTGGGTTTTGAGAAATCTTAAAACATAGTGGGAAAAAAATTCAAAAGTTATAATCTCTGAATTTATCGTGCGTAAATAAACAAATATAATAATAAAAAAATATTTCAGGTGATGATTTGGGCTGCGTACTAGTTTGATTCCCTACTTCTGTATATTAAATATCAATAGATTGCACGAGTTTACGACCGTAAAGAGTTCGACCGTCAAACACAACTCGCTCTTATGTCCACTGAGATCAAACACGAATTTAGAATATCTGTTAGAAGTACAATCAGAAACGTATATAAAATGCAGGGAGTAAATGGAACTAAGAAATCTAAAAAACAACAAGAAAAACAAATT